CCGATGCTCTCCCCCCCACTGATGCTGTTTCCCCCCCCCAGAACCCACTGCTGGTCGGGCTGAAGGGCTCCAGCCTCGTGGTGAGTCTGGGCTGAGGGGGTGCTGCAGGGTCCCTTTTTCCCGCCCCCACCCCATGGCACTGGGGGTGTGGGGGGGATGCTCCCAGGGGTCTTTCCTGCCCCCCCCTTACCCAGCTGTGTCCCCAGGAGACTGTCCAGGTCCTGCAGGCCAAGGTCAATGTCCTGGACATGGCCGTGCTGGACCAGGTGGAGGCTCGGCTACAGGTGAGGGGGGATGGGCTGGGGCACGGGCTGTGACATGGGGAGAGGGCTGGATTGGGGAGCCCACATCTTCATTTGGGGGTCTCACATCTGCTTTTGGGGTCAAACATTTGTATGGGGGTTCCTCACATCTGTGTTTGGGAAGCAGGGTTCACATCTGTGTCTAGGGGGGATCCCACATCTGCTTTTGGGGTCCAACATCTGTATGGGGAGGTGCTCACGTCCGTGTTTGGGGGCATTAACATCTGTATTTATGGGGTCCCACATCTGTCCTTCCCTCCCCCCAAAGAGTGTCCTAGGGAAGGTGAACGAGATCGCCAAGCACAAGGTGACTGTGCAGGATGCTGACACCCAGAGCAAGGTCAGAGCTGGTGGGGGAGAGACCCCCCAGAAGTGACCCAGGGAGGGGGGAACACAGAAACCTCCCCCCATCCCCCCAGGCCGGTACTGAACCGCCAAATCTGCAACCCCCCTCCCCTAGATCCACCAGATCTATGAGACAATGCAGCGCTGGGACCCAGTGGCCAGTACCCTGCCTGACGTGGTGCAGAGGCTGGTTACCCTCAGGGACCTGCACGAACAGGGTGAGGGGCTGGAGGGGACATCTGGGGGGTGAGGGGATGGTCTCAACTTCCCCGCCCCCCCAGCAATGCCCATTTCCCCCCCATCCCCTCCAGCCACGCAGTTTGGGCAGGTCCTGGTGCACCTGGACACGACACAGCAGGAGATCTCGGGGGCCCTGAAGGACAACGCGGTGCTGCTGGCAGAGGTGGGTCCCTCCAGCACCCACCAGGGGGGACATGTGGGGGGATCCCCGTCTTACCACCCCCCCCCATTTCCCCCATTCCAGGTCCAGAAGACAATGAAGGAAAACTTGGCCATCATAGAGGACAACTTCGCCGACATCGACACCCGCATCAAGCGGCTGCAGAAGTGAGAGATCCCCCCATGGAGACACCCCCTCCCAACCCTGGAGACCCCCCAACTTGGAGACCCCTCCCCCTGGACCAGTCACCCATGTCCTCCCTAACCCTCTTCCAGGGCTCCGCAGCCCCCTGGGAATCACTCCCTTCCCCCCCCAACTCTGCTTGTATATACAAGGTGGGTCCTTCCCACCCTTTAGGGGGGTCCTCTGTGTTTCCCCCTCCCTCAATTTACCCTAATAAACAGCTCAGACTGACGTTGTCTCAGCTTCTCCTGGGCCTTCAACACTGTTTCCCACAATGGAAGACACTGGAGACACTGGCTCCATCTGGTCCAAACTGGTGGACATGGGTGGCCAGGCCCAAAGGGTTGTGGTGGGTGGAGTTCAGTCCAGTCCCGGTCACCAGGGTGGTGACACCAGTGGTGTCCTCAGGGCTCAGTGTTGGGGACAGTTCTATGTCTTGATCCATGGGCTGGAGGAGGGGATCGAGTGTCCCCTCAGTCTGTTTACAGAGGACATCAAGTTGGAGGGATCTGGACAGGCTGGATCCAGTGGCTGAAGCCACATCCCTGCCCAAGGAAAGGGTTGGAAACAGATGATCTTTAATGTCCCTCCAACCAAACCCAGGCTGGGATTGTGTGGATCCTGGGGTCAGTTCTGGGCCCTTCAGGACAGGAAGGACTCTGAGGGGCTGAAGTGTCCAGAGAAGGGACACAGAGCTGGGGAAGGGGCTGCAGCCCAGGGGTCTCTGCTCCCCAGGAGCAAGGGGCTGGACAAGACCCCAGGCCCCTAAGGAGCCTCCCTGGCCCCTGAAATCAGACACAACAGGCTGAGCTGAGGCCCCTGGATCCATTAAATGCCCCTCAGGGCCCCCCCCAGCCCCTCTAG